AGAAAGAGAAATGCATTTTGCCAAATATTGTTCCATCTCTGTTCATCTTTTACCTGTCAGATTATTCACTCTTGCCCTGTAGTTCTCAGACTATTTTTTTTCCAGTTCAACTGATAACATTTTGGGATTTGGAATCGCCATGCTCAACACAAATGTTTTTTTTTTTCCGTAGACTGGCCACTGCTTTTTAACTAAGAACGGAAAATCAAGAGTTGCAGTCCTGTGATAATTGAAGATTTTTGATGGAACTCAAAAAGGAAGAATAATGTTTCTTGGGGGAATGTATCTGACAAAAATCCAAAGCAATAGCGACAGTGCTTTGTAGCTAAAGTTGAGCACCGTCAGGCTGATTAGCTTCATCTGATGTGACAGAAATTCCTAGCGGAGTTGTGCACTGCCCAAATATTAGTTATAATAAAACCTTTTCTTTAGGCATTTCCCCCCGTAATTCAGATGCAAAGGGGCTGTGTCAATGCTAGACGCTTCCTTTTGTCATTCCTTTTATTCTCCAGTGGGAAGGGTTCCTTCAGACATTGAAAGCATGTTTTTGTATTTTACATATGATGAGATTCTCCCCATAAAAGTAGGCAAGTTACAATCTCTTGAGTATGACGTCAGTTACAAAAACAAGGCAGTGTGATGGTCTGTGGGCTTGGATGTTGACCTTTATTAGCCCACAACTGAGGATTTTGGGCAGGGCGCACTCTCGTTTCTCCTACACTGAAACAACCTTATTAGGCTGCAACAAAATGGGGCTGGTATAACATATTTAAGTTTCCCACAGTCTCTAAAGCCACACATTCTACAGTTCTCAAACTTTGCTGAGTATTGTAGGAAGTGTAAAGAGAGAAGCAGCCCCCACCCTATGGAACGAACTACCCCCAGAGATCCGGGTGATTCCGGATCTCCCCTCCTTCCGCCGCGCCCTCAAGACATGGCTATTTAAGCTAGCAGGTCTGGCCTAAGGGATATTTTAATCTGGTTTTTTAAAACAATTTTAAAAAGAAATGGCCAATTAATATTTTGTTTTAATTACTTTTTAAATTTAGTATTTATTGTATTATTTATTGTTTTAAATGGCTATAAGCCGCCCTGAGTCCGTTGGGAGAAGGGCGGGGTAGAAATTAAATAAAAGTAAAAAGTAAAGTAAAAGTAAAGAAGACAACAGAGAAATTCACACAGCAATGTATTATTTTTTCCCCTGTGATGCTTATATACTTTTTTTTTTTTTTTTTTGCTCTGGGCAACAACTGTCAGGTGCAAATAACCAGACCTACCTATGCAGAATTTGAGCTAACTATTTTTATTATGTTCTGCCTGTAATACAGGAATCTCTCCAGTCTGGCAGCTCTTCCTTGGGAACAATTAGATCAGGTTCCAAGGAATTCAGGGAGATTCGGTTTTGGTCCTTTACAGTTGTGAGTGACTCTAGATTAATTCTGCACTTGATTCTTCCTCCCTGCCAGGCTAGGTTCTTCACATCTGTCCATCCAAATATCAATATCACATCTGTTCATCAAAATGTCATGCCCTATAAGGTTAGGGTTTATTATCATTCTCTTCTTTCAGTAATCAGAAAGGAATACAGGTTAGCAAGGGAGCTTCATCAGCTCTGTCGTTATACCATGAAGAACATGGGTCTACTATTACAAGGGTCGGAATAATAACAACTTACTTAATCACTTGGGTGTTTTGGCAATGGGCGGGTTAATTTCTCTTGGAGAAATTGAGTTTTTTTATGTTAAGTCCCCCCCCCCCCTTAATGGCTCCTTTCACAGTGAAGTGAAGATTGCTATGGCGAACGAATAAGAAGAGTAATGGGAGATGGATCTAAAAGGATCTCTGAGTAGGTGCTCTTAGATTTAGCTCTCCTAAGACCAAAAAAAGCAATATGTATCTGGCCAGTTTTAACCTCAGAGTTAAGACCCTGCTTTCAATAACCTAAGTAATTTTAGTAAAAAAAAAAAAATACAACAGACTTGAAAAGAGAACAGGAGAAGGAATGTTGAGCTAGATCTTCTCCTTCCAAATGTTGTATAAGGATCTCACATACGTGAAAAGAAATAATTGGAGCAGAAGTGGATTGGCTCTTTGGATATAACCAAGAAGAAGAGCCCAAAATTGGCAAAATATGCATTTAATTATTAAGCATATCAGCAATTGACTCTGGATCAATGGCATGTATTTTAGTTTTGTCTCGAGCCAAAACCAGCAGCCAAAAGAACAACAACAAAAAAAACAGCTTGCATATAAAGAATTAACTAGAAAGAAGAAATTGAGAGACGACATTTAGGATTACATTTTACCTCTAGATTTTTGGCTCAGTTTCCTAACTGGGGATTCTTCAATTGCAACTCTGTTATGATTACTTGAGTACCTACTTTGGCTGGGTCTTATGTTCTATGCAACACTTAAAGACACAGGCAACTAGACCTAGGCAGAACATAGGCAGAACAGTATTATAACATCATCACTCACTGACCTATAGTTTCAAAGGTATGTCCTCTGATCCTTCTCTTCTACATGATTCACTCTTCCATCAGATTTGGATTTCCATCAGATTTTTAATCCCATTACAACAGCAAAGCCTTCTTTCCACAGAAGCCAAACAATGAATGTTTCATTGACAATATGGGATGTTCATGGACATTCTAGAACTTCACCCTAGTTCAGTATTGGAAACATCAGCGCCACCAATGTACACCAATCAACGTTTCTCAATCTCAGCAACCTGAAGATGTGTGGAGTTCAATTCTCAGAATCCCTTAGCCAGCATGTTGGCTGAGGAATTCTGGGAGTGGAAATCCATACATATTCAGGTTGCCAAGGCTGAGAAAGACTGGTATAGATAAAGACATTAAAATTGGGCAGAACTATCCCTAGGGCTGTTGGTGTCTGAGTTTGACCTCGGTTTGCTACCTATCCTGATCTACCACCTGAAGCAGCGACTTCATGATACCTATGGTAGGGCTGAAATCCCCTTTAATCATCTGATTTGTTTCCAGAAATCTGGTATTCTTCTACTTTGCTCCTGCTTACCAAACCTTCACTGGGCATGATGCTGGTAAGATGAACAACTTCAAGATGAGCTGACTGAGACACCAGAGAATCTGATGAAAGAGAGATGATATGATCACAGATACCAGACAGCGTTTTACACTGTAGGGAAGGAGGAGAGAAAAAGAGAGAGAGAGAAAGAATTCAGCACAAAACATTGTAATGGAAGCACAAAGACTCACATTCAAACGTTATCTGCCCACCATGCACCTATCTGAACCAGAACATTTCACAAACATTTTTTCCCCTCCACTTCCCTAATTATTACCAAGATTGATATCATGGAAAGCTGCTCTAGTTTTGTTTTGCTTTTTTTTTTTCTTCTTGAGTGCAATGTATAAACCCAGCCACTGCAGTTGTGGGCTTGGGTTGATGGTTAATCCAGCCAATTGGTTTACAAAACAAGCTTTAGAAATATGTGATTCAAACTACATTATGAAATCGTCTGTTTGCTACCCTTTCATGTCATCTATAAGGAATCAGCTATCTCCTTGTGTTTATTAGTAGGTTTACATCTGTTTGCCCAGTCAGTTTTCTGTTGCTTGCTAAAGCTTTGTATGAGCCTAAGGTTCTACCTATCACAGCATTGTCTGAATAGGATTTGAGCAAGCTAGCACCAATGCCTTTATCAAACTTATTTAATCATGCAGTAGTTTGCACAATCCGGGATCCCAAGTTGCTAGGGGTAAGTTGCTGAACATTGTTAGTATGCTAATTGACACATCATTCTTATTCTTCCTAGAAGACTCATTTAAGTGAGGAACCATTCATCAGGCACCACCAAGAGCAATTCTCACAGGGCTTAGCGAATGATGCTTAAAAAAAATGAACTAAAGCTAGGCTTATATGCAATGTCTTTGCCATCCTGGATAAAGCTACCCGGCTCAGCATTTTTCTCCCATCCATAGTATTCCCGTTCCAGAGCTGTTCCAGATCCAGCCTCTTTTTTATTCATCAAATAGCCTAGCACAGTGGTGGCGAACCTATGGCACGGGTGCCAGAGGCGGCACTCAGAGCCCTCTCTGTGGGCACGCGCGCCGTCTCCCTAGTCCTAGGCCTTCAGCTGGGTTTTATAAAACCTTTTCGCTTTAGGCCTCCGCTGCCGTGTAAAAAAAAAAAGGTTCAATCAACCAGTCAATTTCAATTTCTAGCGGGGAAAAAAAGATCTTGCAAAGTTGGAATTGATTGATTGAACTTTTTAGTCCCACCCAGTCTGCCATTACTACCGCAGTCACACCTACCCAATGGGCCACACCCAGCCAATGGGCCACACCCACCCAGCACCCGATGATGCATAAGTGGGTTTTGGGTTGCAGTTTGGGCACTCAGTCTCTAAAAGGTTCGCCATCACTGGCCTAGCATTTTCTTGGACTATCTGTTCCAGAAGCTGTTTTGTTCTCCTCACTGTTCTAATACAGTGGATTCACATCATATTTAGGCATATTGTTGCTGTTGTTGAGCAAGCTACAATGGGCTAGGTTCATACATCCCATGAAACCATACCCATGTTCCACTAGAACTTAAGAGCTATGTTTGAACAGTAGTTGACTAGAGATTCTCCAAGATTTGAGCCGGAGTTTTTCCAGCCTACCTGGAGATGTTCAGAGACATTCTTCTACACTGTATTATTGTTCTCAAATATGCTTCTTGGAAACTTCCAACAAAGGGGAAACAAGCATCGTTGTTCTAATTGTTTCTGTGATCAAACTGCTTGATTGTCAAGCACTTTCTCCTAATGTTTCAGGAAAACCTTTCCTCTTCTCGTATCAGTCAATGTGTTCTTCCTGAATCTTATGCAGAGAATTGCTCGCTAGGACTTTTCAAACAGCACAAAACTGCTTTGTTCAGCACAAACATTTTTGCACTCTTCATTTGTTTACCGAGAGTTCAGTGTTGAAAGATTAGCCTTTGACCCATGGTACTTTAGGTATTAAATTTTGGCAGGAAAATTCGTACATCATGAGAAAAAGGATTTTATATTTTTTTGGTGCAATTTGGCAAGGTACAAAATCAGGCTACATTGCAGATGAGGCTCAAATGATCTAATGATAACTTTGGGTTTATCTCTTTCATGTCTTCATATAACTAGAATATGATGATACTTTTTGATTTACTTTGGCTACCACATTGCCCTTGCAGTCTAAATCAACTACTGTAGTGCCAACTAATACTTGGAGGTGTTATGGCACTCATAGGACCAAGATACCGTTCCATGAATAAAACAAGAAAGAGTTGTGATATCTGGGATTAGGCTGTTGGAGTTATTCTGTTAATACAACATTAACATTGTCCAAATTTGGGGATAGTTTATGACCAGTGCAAATTTGAACTCTACCCACTGAAGTCTCATCAGCATCCCCAAATCACCCAATCCTACCTTGATATAGTGATAAAAATAATAATAATATGGAATACGCAATGCTGATGAAAGAGTTATGCCTCACTCTGATAAAAGGACTGACAGTTATTACAGCAGAAAATTGATGCTAGCTATCTGCCTTCAGAAAACAGACAAGCTCTTAGCCCCTTCAATCTAAAAAGAAGAAAGAAACAGACAAAAGTTCTGCTTTTAACATATTAATGATGGTCCTGAGATTCTTGTTACCTAGATTAACTCTCTCCAGTCCAGACCATAAGAAGGGAAGTCCAACAGCCCCAGACAAGCATAAAATAATGTGATTATAGAAGTAACATCAATATCATTAGGTTCATGTTCCTATAATACATAATAGCATCCTGATGAATTCTGTCTGAGTATAGATAAGAAGCATGCATTAAAAAAATTGCTGATCATTGATCCTTTGGTAGAAAAAGTAAGTTCTGGTTGCTGTTGATCAATGACATTCTAGGTGTGATAAATGTCTAACAATATTTGCAATTATAATCTATAATTGAACAAAGGCCCTGCAATGAACTTCTGACATGTAATGCTGTCATAATGAACACAATGCCACTGCAGATTTTTTTTTTAAAAAAAAAAACAAAATTCTATAAATAGTGGAAGGAAGAGAATAATTCTTTTGGGATGTCTTGGTAGTCAATATAGGTTTTTAACCTACCCTGAGTGTTCACAAAGTGACACTAGTTATAGATGAGACAGCTTAGTTGCATCAAATGTTGCCCACTTTTGTACTAGAGATATTGGGGGAAAAGTAGTAATATTTGTATTACTATGAATAGGAGAATATAAAGACAGTATGCATTTTTTCCCCCTATTTGGCATGGTCTCGTCTTCTTTCAGAAATGGCCATCATCTCCTAATAGAGGGAGATTACAAAGATAGGAGGTCAAAATTGGGCTGTTAATTTCTCTTGGGTTTTCTTCCTTGCTCAAAAGAATTCTGAGATATTTCCAATTGCCAGCACTCAGTGACTTCCTCAAAATCACACACACATAGTTCCTTCATCCATATCTGCCAGCATCTTCTCTGGTCCTTAAGCAGAAGAGAGAGACATCAGCGTCCTGAAAATATGCCACCAATGATCTGGTTCCTTTTGGTAGTTTTCAGTGAGAAGGGCAGTATCTTTACTCTACCCCAGCATTGGACCTCTCCTCTCTTCTCCCTCTCCCTCTCCCTCTCCCCTCTCTCCTCTCCCTCTCCTCTCCTCTCCTCTCCTCTCCTCTCCTCTCCTCTCCTCTCTCTCTCCCTCTCCATCTCCCTCTCCCTCTCCCTCTCCATCTCCATCTCCATCTCCCTCTCCTCTCCTCTCCTCTTGTCTCCCTCCCTCTCCCTCTCCCTCTCCCTCTCCCTCTCCCCTCTCCTCTCCCTCTCCCTCCCACCCCTTTCTCCAGCCTGTCCACTTTGCAAGGGAGATGGATGCAAATAGCTTTTGAAGGACAAATTCACGACTGATGTAGGTTTGCAGCAGTCACCTATTTGGGCTAGCTGCCTTGATTGTTTGGATAGCAACCTTGGGCTAAATTATTCTAAGTAAAACCAAATAAATAAAATGTGAGAAGAATTACTACCATCATTTTTTGGCTAAATAACTGCATTTCTAATGGGGCTTCCACATCAGAGAATTACCTTAAATCTCTTCTAAAGCACATTAAGCCAGCAATCAATCCCCCTGCATTCAGTATCTCTTCCTTGAAACCAAACGTGTACAGCAGTACAGTCTTGATTCGCAAAATAATGATTTCCAATGAGGCAGACAGCACGAAGCATCATGCGCACCCACCCCAAGCTACAAGAGGCACTTACCACATGAAGAATTTTATTTTCTGTTTCATACACGGTGCAATCCTGCAAAAGAGAAAGGGGGAGGGGAGGAGCTCTTAAACTTCCACAGAAATCTACTCTGTTCAGTTAAATTAGCTGCTCCTTGAAAAATAGCAGGCTACTCGGCTTCAGATGACAATCCATCAAAGTGCCCCCCACATCTGATTCAATCTGCTTAAAATAAATCTATTTATTTATCACATTTCGACACCGCCCATCTCACCTAATATAGTTGGCAGTTTGCAATGCAAACATAAAAGGGGGTATAAAAGCATAGATACCACAAAGTTAAAATAGAATTAAGAACAAAGTTAAAATTAAGCTATTGCATGTCTAAAAAAGCAGATCACATCACCAGCCACCCTCAGAGTTGCATGTCACTCTTTGACCCCCACGCCAATTGGCAAAGCGGGTCTTAACGCTCATTATTCCCAATTTATAATGACCAGTACTTGGAGTCAACATGTGCAGAGGTAGTTAGATTGCCAAAAAAATAAATAAAAAATTGCAACTTTCTGGATGAGAAAGAGAGACAGAGGAAGCCTGTGCCAGATCATTACATTGAGCTAAACTCTTTCAGTTTTAACTTCCATTATGAAAGATGGCTAAACAGATGTGTCAAAGTGGAGAACCAGTTTAACTTGCCTAAAAATAATGCCAGCAAAAAAAAATCTGTACATCAGAGATTTTTCTGCCATGTACATCAGAGTGAGCATCCATCCAGGACAATCTACATCCTGTTTTACCCTTTCTTACAAATAGCAATTATTTTCCCTTTCTCTTTTTTTTTAGTCTTCAGCTGTTCGGTGTTGATCTATCCAGGCCGGCTATGACATCTTGAAAATTGTACATTGTATGCATATTTGTGTTTATGGTACAGTGCTGCTAAATGATTCCTGGCCACTTGTTCTGACCATTCCCTTCCCTTTCAGGTAGATGGGGAAAAAAAGAAACTGGGCTATTTATTCCAGGCCAAAGAGAGGTCCCAAGGAATTTTCATGGCTGAGAGGCAGGTTCCTTGCTGTTACCTGAATTACAGGTTACCCAAATACCAAGGATGAGTGCTCTACTTTTTACTGGCAATGTTCTCCAGCCACCTGCAGGCTCTTTTGTTTATCAAAGCTCAATTAAATTCCCAAGGAGAAGATTAAAAGAAAGGTAGAGTTTTCCTCTGCCCAGTCATGTTTGATGCTAGGGTGCGGTGCTCATCTTTGTTTCTTAGCTGAGGGAGCGCCAGCATTGTCCGAAGACATTTTTGTGGTGTGTGGCCAGCATGGTTATACACCAAAGGCACACGGAACTCTGTTACCTTCCCACCTGTTGATTTACTTGCATTTGCATGCTTTCAAACTGCTAGGTTGGAAGCAGCTGGGGCAAGGAACAGGCGCTCACCCCATCACGCAATGCTTGGGTCTTGAACCGCCAACCTTCCAGTCAACAAGCCCAGCGTCTTAACCACTAGACCACCACTTCTCCATCAAGAAGAGGATAGAGATAAGTTGTGTCAGTTTGGGTACATATACATTACTCTTGTCCTAGCCACAGAGACGTTCCATCACTTTGTCCCAAAGGTCCATTTGGACTCTGTTTTAAGACAGGGTCACGCCTGAACCATGCATGGTTGACGCTCTTTGCCAATATATTCTTTTTTAAATATTTGTCTTGGCTACTGTTTCCCCCTTGGGCTGTCTCTCACAACATGTGCACATGCATGGATGCACACAAACACGCACAAGTCAGACATCAGCTACAGGCAGAAGTGGCCGTAGTGTGTATCTGGCTTTGTTTACTCAGTTGTAAACCTCCCATGATTTTCAGGATGACTTAGTGAGAAAGTCAAACATGGGGGGGAGGGGAGACAGAGGGAGGGAGAGAGGGAGGGAGGCAGAGGGAGAAGCAGAGGGAGGGAGGGAGGGAGAGGGTGAGGAAAGAAGAGGGAGGGAAGAAAACACTGTAACTATACTAGTATATATACTGTACTAGAATCTTGTGACTTGTCCATGGTGCTGAACTATGCTTCCCATTAGCTGTTAACTCGATGCTAAAACATAATGTAGTTTTTAAATAATAGTAATAATAATAATAATAATAATAATAATAATAATAATAATAATAATAAT